CTCCCCCTGCGGCCATGGTGGGGAAGGGGGAAGCAGGCCCGGACCCCAAGCAGCAGGAGGGAAGTGGGGAGTGGGCTGGATGGGGGGAGCCCAAGGGGCTCTGTCCCAACCCACCCTCCCCATCCCCCATTATTCTTGACAGGCAATTGGCTAGTGTCATTTGTTTGATCACTTACAGGAAAAGAAACCCTATTACAAAAGAGGGTAAATCAGGTATGCAAAAAGACAGTATGACCAGTAGCTCGAGTTTCTATAAACCATGTTTAGTCTGCCATAGGCTCTAGTCTCAGAAGTTTTAGCATGACCTTGCCCATTTTCCTCACAAAAAAATCCTGTTTTCTACCTACTAAATTTATTAAATGTAGAAAGTAAATCACAGAGTAATTTCATTCTCATTAATATGTATACTTTCAAATGACACATTTAAGAGGTATAATATATGATTTTTCAAATTTGTGATAAAAAGTGAGACAGATAAAGGATGCATTTTTATTACAACCCACAGCATTTTTATAACACAACGGCAGATGAATGGAAAAAAAAGCAGGGAGAAGACTCCAGTTTAGCATTGTGATTTAAGAAAGAGCATTTAAAATTATCAGAGAAGAATCTTCTTCTAAAACACAAAATCCAAAAATTACATTTCTGGACACAGAGTGCCATCTTGTGGAGCAAAATTACTATTTGTTAAATCATTCTGAAATTTCAAAATTGTTTGCTAAAGTAATTATAGTGCCCTGTACAAACACTAAAGAAAAACCAAAGGGTGGCCTTGAGCTTCTTTGGGGGGTTTTCTGATCACTACCAAAATTTATTAAATTCCAACAGTTGATTTTATTTGGTTCCCTCAATAATAATAACTAAAAGACTGGAACTTCTTGTTGATGTCCAAAGCAAACAGGTCAATCTTTGAACGCCTCCAGTACAAGAAGATGACACTGAAGAAGCAATTCCTTGATTTCTAACTGGTGGTACAGAAAGACGCATTTGTTGAGACTACCCACTCAAGTAAACTGGAGGCCCAAGAGGTGCAGTCCCAAGAGATGCATTTTAAGAGTTGGAACAGTTCCATGGGCTGACCACCTCCCTGCTTATTTTGTGCCTCCTTATTCGTTGATTTAAGACACTGGTGCTCAACCTTTTGGCCCTGGGGGCCAAACGAGTGCTACAGGGCCTTCCACATGTCAGGATTGGACCCTAGGAGCCCGACACAGCTCCCTCTCAACCTCTGTGTTCTGGGATTGGGCCCTGGAGCCCAGTGCTGCTCTCACTGAGATCAGATGCCAGGTCCAGTGTGCAAGTCTTGAGGCTCCCCATGGGTCTAAAGATTTGACAGCAGGGGAGTAAAGCCACTGCTCCCCTGCTGCCAAATTTCCAGACCTGTGGGGAGCCCAACAAGCCAAATGACATGGCTCTGCAGGGTGCATCTGGTCCACAGATCAAGACTGAGGACCTCTGATTAAAAACATTATGGTGATATTGTCCATCATACCCTGGATATGATACATTGGTTGTGATATAAGAATGCCTGGCATGCTCTGCATAAAATCCTGAGCTCCAAGATACTGCCAGATAGTTTCACCTCTTTGGAAGACCAAAGACATTGTACTCAGAGATCATTAATATGTGATCATTCCCTTCAAAGCCAAACCTGCATGCATATGAAGTGTAGACTGATACACAAAATCACTTATGTGCCACAGGAGGCTTGGTGGCCTAAGGTGCGTAGGCCGGCCCTGACATTGTCAAGTTGGCCTCCACCTGCAAAACCAAAATACAGCAAAGATAAGAGGTGGTCTCAGAGGAGGTATTGTTAGGGTAGCTTGTCATATTTTATGCTTTAAAGTTGCATCTGTTTATAGAGTAGTGAATTACAATATTGTTTAAAGTTTTTTTATATTCAGCCTAAAGTTCTGTATAGCGTCATTGTTATCTGAACTCTTCATTTTTCAGGTATTTGCAATATCAGCTGGTCTTGCCTCTCGCAAGCAGCTTATGGCCTTGAGTTTGCTGGCATGATCTTTCTTTCCTTTTCTGTGAGAAGTTTTTCTAACACAACATAGTAATAGTTTTGTTACTAGCTCAAATTAACTGAACTTGGCTCTAACCAGCTGATTCAGAGGGATTAAATGATTGGCTATGTTAATGAAAGGTGATAAAGAAGACCAATGGACAATGCCCAAAGTAAGACACTGCAAAAAGGCCAAGTTAAGAGGTGTGCTTGTAGTGGGTCTGTTAAACAAAGGAGTATGCTGACAGGATAAAGTATGAACAATATGCTGACTGCTGAGAGAGCAATCCAAAAGCAAGGAGTCATCAAAGGACTCAAGTTAAAGAAAAGTATAAAAGTGGGGAGCAAGCAAGTTAAGTGTGTGTCATCATCATCATTGTCATCATGAATCCAGCTTTCAACACCTGTCTAGACCATCCCAGCCAACGACACACCCTTTGCTTCAGGAACTGAGTGGCCGTCTTTTCTGTTGAGCAAAGTAACATCTGGGATTGGGTGTGATCATTGTACTAAGTGCTTTTCTCTCTCTAAATATAGAAACTGCTAAGTTTGACTTTGGTTTTAAGACACTGAGTTGTCTGTGTTCCTATTTCACATTCCATTTAAGGGTTAATTGTGCTTTAACGGTCCCTAAGCACTATCTGCTAGACAGAGGTGCTATCAGTAAGTTCTGGCCATAAACTATGGTGGTCCCTATGAACTCAGGATTCCGAACTGGGACCAAGTTTCACCTTTGGCTATTAACCTTTAGGCCCAAGTCTGGGATAAATACAGAGTGATCTGAAGGTTCAGAGGAGCTACCCTTTGGTAGTCAATCATCAGAAAAAGATATATAGAGGGATGGGACTAGACAACCTTGCGATGTCCCTGTTAGCCCTATATTCCTATGATCTTTTCTCCTGAGGCAGGCCATCACCACCACAAGGATCCTGGTGAAGACATTTGGGGTTGCCAAGAGGCCATAGGGAATGACCTTGTATTGGAAATAGATTTGGCCCACCACAAAATGGAGGGTGTTTTTGTAGAAAGGCATTGTGGCAATATGGTAGTAAGTATCCTGAATACTGAAAGATATGAACCATTCCCCTTCTTCTAGAGACAGAATGATAGTGGCTAGTGGTGCCATGAATTTGACCTTGCAGATGAAGGCAACTTCTGCAGCCCAATTGGACTGTAATCTCACTTCCCTTTTTGGAACCAAGAATAACTGCTGTGAAACTCCCTCTCCTACGGCCTCTATTACTACTGGGAGGAAAGCTCCCTGCTACTATATCTCACACACACAATACCAGTAGTGCTGGTCATAAAGGCTGCTTACAGACATGAAAAAACCAAAACAAAACAGCACTTTATTTTAAGTTCAGCATGCCCCCGCACCAGAGCAGCACATGCCTATAAGAGGCATCACATTAGTTTGAGCCAGCTCACTCAATGTCTGTATAGATCAAGCATTTTGGACGCTTTTATAGTTTCATAGTTGGTAGGGTAGGGTAGGGTCGGAAGGGACCTGAGCAGATCATCAAGTCCAACCCCCTTCCAAGGGCAGGAAAGAATGCTGGGGTCAAACAACCCCAGCAAGGTGTCTATCTAGCCTCCTTCTGAAGACCCCAGGGTAGGAGCGAGCACCACTTCCCTTGGAAGTTGGTTCCAGATCCTAGCCGCCCTGACTGTGAAGTAGTGCCTCCTGATATCTAGCCTGAATCTACTCTCCATCAACTTATGGCCATTATTCCTTGTTACTCCCAGTAGTGCTTGGGGGACAGGGACTCTGCCATTGCCTGCTGGTCCCCTCTGACTAGTTTGTAAGCAGCCAGTAGATCCCCCCTCAGCCTTCTCTTGTGGAGGCTGAACAAGTTCAGGTCCTGTAGCCTCTCCTCGTAAGGCCTGCCCTGCTGCCCACTGATCATGCGAGTGGCCCTCCTCTGGACCCTCTCCATGTTGTCCACATCCCTCCTGAAGTGCAGCACCCAGAACTGGATGCAGTACTCCAACTGCGGCCTGACCAATGTCATATAGAGGCGGAGGATCACCTCCTTGCACCTGCTCATGATGCATCTGTGGATTCAAGACAAGGTACAGTTAGCCTTTCTGACTGCGTCCCCACACTGCTGGCCCATGTTCATCTTGGAATCAATAGTGACTCCAAGATCCTTTTCTGCCTCTGTGCTGACAAGAACGGCGTTCCCCAGCCTATAGGTGTGCTGCTGGTTCTTCCTCCCTAGGTGCATCACCTTGCACTCGTTAGTACTGAATCCCATCTTATTCTCATGCTTCACTCATATGTCATTTACATGGCACATACATCTTTGTTAAATTACACAGACGATCAGGATACCATTACGGTGCAGACTAAACATGTAAGGTTTTAAAGATACAGATGCATCTGCTGCTCAATAAGCGTGTCTACATGAGACACTGACTGCGCAGTAGCTGAAAAATACTGTGCAGTAGCGCATCACAGCACAGATACTACTGATACATTACTGCACAGTATTATTAGGCTACTGCACACTAGCAACACCTAAAATATGTTCGCTGGCACTACTGCACAGTAAATCTGGTCACCCACGTTTATTTAGTTCTTGCTAATACAAGTACTAAATAAATGCACAGTAATGACTATGCAGTAGTGTCTCATGTAGATGTATCCAGTATGTAAATAAACAGCCTCCCTTCAGAAGGAACAAGAAATAAAAACATTCAGTATTCATTTAGAATAAATCTGTAGCACCAAAGGAAATAAAGTATTTTTTCATGTTACTTGCTTCAATTGTTTAAATTGTTTTAATTTCTGTCCAATATTACTTCCTTTGAGATACCTGAAACAGTTTTGCAAAACAGCACTTTTTGCAAAAATATCTTAGGAAGGGCTGGAATGAAATACAAAAATCTGTTCTGTACATTAATAAATGCTATTTTTCTGATATAATTTTTCTGATGTGTTTTCTGAAAATGCATTCAGAATTGATCTTAAGAAATTTGTTCTTACATGCAAGACAGCTTTCATTAACTCTTTCCACGTCTTATCCACAGTAGTAAATCGTCTACTTTCTTCAGGCATCTGAGCCATAATGTCAGGAGAGCTAAAAATTGGTTCTAAATACAGCCAAGTTGCCTGAACCTTCAACCATTCATCCAGGATCTCCTGTACCAACAGCAATTTAGCTTCCCATTCCCTGCAAAACAGATAGCATTGACTTCTGCATTATACTTATGCTAACAGGTATAGCTTTACTTAGAATATTACATCTGTGGCCTTTTGACAAGTTATCTAAAACTAGGAGTATTAAGAACCAGGAACTGGACAGTGAACAAAAAAAACCAACTTTCCAATTCTACCTCTAATTTATAAAATATAGCTATTTACTTTCACATAAAAGGGCAAATAGTGATAACATGTTCACTAAGACAACAATAGTTTTTTATATAGATTTGTATATTTCAGTTCTCATACAAACTGGAGATCATGCTCTAAAAACAAGAATATATGCAACTCTTGCGTGAAATAGTGCCTCTTAAGCACTTTCAGAAGAAATAGGTATATAAATACTGAATCAAATCCTTCAGCAATGAATTCCATGTCACTTCAGTCCTAAGTATGAGGCCATCATTAATTAAACAAAAACATTAAGTTCTACAGTTCACTTATTAACAGATAGTGTGATCCAAATCCCACTAAAATCTATTAAAAGTGTCCTATTGACTTCACTGAGTTTTGAAACAGACCTTTAGGGGAAACTGTTACTCTGAAAAAACCTCATATCTTAACATTTTTCAATTATTTTCAAAATAAGAAAAATTAACTAATAGCATATTATTTTGTTACACACAAAGCTGTGCATGAGCCTGCAATTCTACCAGCAACTTCTTTTTCCCATCATCATAAACCAAAAGAGAATAAGGCTAGGGACAGACATTCAAAAACCCTAAGCCTGAATAGATTCAATCTTTGCAGATTAGTCTAACCTAGCTAGGCTGAATCAGTTTCTAAACATACAACATTCCCTCTGGACTGAAGAAATGCAGGCACATGGCTGCACTGGCTCAGGCTAGAAGCCAGGGGGCACTAGAGCAGCCCTCCCTTCTCTTCCAAAGTGCTGAGCTGAGGGGGGGCGTGGCCAGGTCTCAGCAAGATGCTTGAGTAGGGAGGGGTTCCCTCCCCTGCCCGTCTTTGCTCTAGACCAGCCCAACAGGGAATTGATAACAGAACATTTATCAGCCCATCAAAAAAACAAAAGCCTCTCTCATTAGTTCAAGCTCTTCTTAAACAATGTTTTCCAAGGAAGGAACAGAGGGACATTACCAGCTGACCTGTTGATTAGCTCCAAAAAGTCCTAAGTGGACACTGTCCTGTCTGCCTTTGTCCTGTCTGCCTTACACAGACAACTCTCAGCATTAGCCAGCATACCATGTGCTGGCCACGGTCTGTGCTGTGAGAGAGGGGAGAGGAGAATCCCTGCCTGAGCAGGGAGTTTGGAGGAGGGAGGAGGCACAGGGAAGCCACACAGATGCTGCTGTGCCTGCCATCTCTGCTGGAGCTCCAGCCAGGGAGCAGAGGGGCAGGGCCAGCCCAGCTCTCTGGAGCAGAGGATTCTGCCCAGGCTGCAAAGCATCTGGGATGCTGGGGGACTCTAATTTAAGCTAAACCAGAAAGGGGTCTGGGACAGACATTGCATAAACTGGTTTGAGTCAAATCAGTTAAGTCTAATACTACATTTAACCAGATTTATCTCAAACCAGTTTCAGCCATTTTCAAACTGGTTTATGTGTACTGAACATCTGTTCTGTTACAGGTTTAAACCAGTTTCTGATCACTTAAACTGGTATATGTGTAATGTCTGTCCCTAGCCTAAGAGTCCAAATTGTCTGGTAAAAACACTGACATGCTGAGATATTAAAAAAATAGAATATTTAGGGTTTGAACTTCAGGTCCTGAGGTAAGTCTTTAGGTCCTGATGTAAGTCTTGTATGGCCTGTGTTATTTAGAGAGTGCAACCAGATGAAGCTGATTTTCATACATGAGTGACCTATTGACTTCAACTGGTCCAACCAGCCCAGGTCAAGGACTCTTGTATTAATAAATTCTAGGGTCACAAGAGAACATTCATGTTCATCTGTTTGCACTCTTTAAATAACACAGGCCATACAATTTCACGCAACGCATCTAACCCAGCATCTCGTGGTTGAACAATATCAGCGGTTCCCAATCTGTGGAACGGGTACCACCAGTACTACACAGATAACCTGTCAGAGGTATGCATTAACAGATTTATTATAATTATTTTATATAACAAAAATTTGTTGCTGGTACTTAGGTTGAACTCAAAAATTTGCTGGTGGTAGTTAAGATTGTATCATTTTAAATTGGTGGTGCACAATCTGTCAGAATTTGGGAATCGCTGAACTATATACATTCTTTTAGGATGGGGTGGCCAACCTGTGGCACAGGCAGCCACTCCTAGATGATTGGGGAGACCAATTGGGGAGGGGACAGGAAACACGGTGGAATATCAGGAAGGGACCAGAAAGCAGATCATCAGATCAGGCAGGGAACACAAGGCAGGAATCAGAAAGCAAAGGAGAAGATTGGGCAGGAGAAGGGCATGAGATTGGCAGTAGGGGAGGATGCAGGCCTAATTTGTGGCACTCCTACAAAAAAGTTTGGACCCTACTGTTTTAGGGTATATCTATACAGCAAAATGAAGATATGATTGCAGTATGTGCTAATATCCCTAAAATAGATTCATCTATTTAGCATAGATAACAATAGCAATGAAAAAACAGCAGCACTGACATTATTATACACAAACAACCAGTACCCAAATGCTTCAGGAAGAGCTGCTAATGTGATAAAGCCCATACTGTTACAAGAAATCCAGGGTTGCCTGTGAAATCCTTGAGAAAAAACCTTAATAAAAATAAGTTTCTATTGAGTCTTACCCTCCCAGGTGGGCCTCACAGCCTGCCCGGGAAGTGAAGGCACTGGTTGGTGGGGTGGCATGAAAGGGGCAGCAGACAAGATGGTGGCTGCCCCTCCTTCCTCCTACCCTCCACCCTCTCCACCAATCAGTGCTGAGGGAGGGGGCCAGACAAAGAGCAGCCAGCAGTCAAGAGGGTGGCTGTCCCCTTGTCAAACTCTTTACCGCAGAGCCTCTCTGCCAATCAGTGCTGAGGGGAAGTGCCTCTGCCAATCAGCACCAAGTGGCCAGACCACCAGGAAATGCCCATGAAATGGGCTCTTCCTGCTGGAACATGGCTTTGTCTCACTGCAAGTTAAGTACGTCGCTACAGATAAGTTAAGATGGCACAGCCATGCTACAAGTCATTACATTTGTAAATTTATTTTGATGTTAGACATATCCTTACAGAAATTACTACATTCTTTTGTAAATAGTTTGAATCAGATTACCTATGATAATCAATTCTTTTTTTTACCTTTATTTATTAACAAATACAATTATCAAATAGCCAATTTATCATGTAAAGATACATCCAGTCCCCTTAAAAACATATATGAAGACAGATATTTATCTATCAACTGCACTCACTTAACCCAAGTCAATGCCCAAAGGAGTCCTGTATCCTTTTCTTCTCTTCCTTTCAGTCTCTGAACAGTTCCAATAATCAATTTTAATAGTAAATAATATTCACAGCTACATTTTTGCCTTTTATGTCCAATTTGAATTTTACAGATTCAACATCCAACCACTGGACGTTGTATGCCTTTGCCTCGTAGATTAAAAAGCCTTCTAACATTAATTATAACTATTAGAATTTTAATGCAAGTAATTATAACAACAGCAATAACAATTACATTTTTATTTAATCTTCTCTGTCAAAAGCTAAAAGGATTGAACTCCTTTAGTCTTTCATTGTAAAGTATGTTTTCCAGACCACAAGTCATTTTTGTAGCTCTTTTCTGAATTCTTCACACTTTTTCAACCTCCCTTTAAAAGTACTAGCACTATAATTGGATAAAATATTTAATAGAGATCTCACCCATGTCTTTTGTGGACGGAACATTATTGATGCTTACTCTTCCCAGAAATTCCCACTTTTCTGCCAATAGAAATTTATATGCGTCGTCCTATTTACATGTTTTAAAAATCTGTTATCTTAGATGTGGTGATGAATCCCATTTGTTTGCAATTTTTACATCATAAATACCTAGTATCAAATTGTATGGTATAGTAAGTGTATATATTATGTGGTAAGCCTCCATAATTTTCCCAAAATGTCATGGTAATCTCTTTTTAAAGGGATAAGGCCTTTTGCTGATGGTGAAATGCTACTGAAATATTTTACCCAATTATGAAGGATTCCATAATCCTAAATATATATAAATTATATCTTAGTCTTAGCTGCAGAGTAAGAAGGAAACTGTTTTTTATTTAGGAATGCCACTACTTCTAGTAAAGACTTACCTCATATTTGTTTCATAAGGTGCAATAAATGGAGATCCTCTCATAGTTTGTGTTTTAACAATGTGGTCATCTAGTAACATTTGAATATCATCTACAGATGATAAAATATGAGTTCCTGTTTCCCTATAAGCAAGGATATTAAATTCCATCACATCCCATTCAGAAATCATTTTCATCATGGCCTTTTCAAGTGAATGCTCCTTGCTGGCTGCTTCACTAATTGTTTCAAATTTCTCCAAGAAAGCCTCAAGATGCATATTAATATATGAAGAGACAGTTGAGTCTTCAGTAGGAGTCAGTGAGACATTGGCAATATCTGACATGGCTTGCCAGTGACGTTTTCGCAATCCAGGGTTGCAAATCACCTGGATTAATGGAATGTGATTTTTGAATTCTTCTACTTTTGCTTTAATCTTTGTTGTTATTGATAATGCATTTGGAGAATCATGGAAGGTTTTTTCTAGTTTGTAGAGTCCACGCCAGTAATTTCCTACATCTACCTCTACCTGGTCTGGATTCACTTTTGTGAATTCTCCATCCATCCAGTTTTTGTGTCTACTGTTGAACTCTATAGTCATATCATAGAGACGAAGATATGGATTAAGAGTGTCTTGGATTTTTTTGCGCTGAGGGTATTGAGATGCCGGCCATCCAAAGGCCTCTTCTTCTGCATTAAACTGGTCAATCTATAGACACAAAAGTAAAGTCTGAAATACAGAACAAATTGCCCACATCTTCTAGCTCCTTCCTATGGGTATTAAGATCATACAGTCATAGGGTTAGAAGGGACCTCAAGAATGCAGGAATGTTATTCAAATGTTTATCGAGCCTCCTCTTGAAAACTTCCAATGAAGGAAATTCTACAACTTCCCTGGGCAGTCTCTTCTACCATCAGCTATCAGTAAGGACATTTTTTATTTCCTTGAGATCTAACCTAAATCTTACTTTGCTGTAATTTAAAAATAATGCTTTAGTTCCTGCTTCTGCAGTAAAGGAGAATAGTTGTTCTCCCTTTTCTAATTTTATACATGCATATACATTTACATATTAAAAACTAGCTTTAGGTTTAAAACATTTAAGAGTATAAAGACCAAAAGATTTTAAAATATCCAAAATGCAGAGACTTGCCCACCTATATAAACCCTGAAGTACAAATCAGCTACTCTCCAGAAGCATACTCCAAGGGTCAAGAGGTTCAGCCTCTAAGGGAATAAAGAGGATAGCAAGACCTAGAGTCAAATAACCCTTACAGAAAAGCTGTATCACTAGCCTTGGTTCCCCCAATGTAGAGAAGTCCTTAAATGACAGACAGCCAGCAATAAGCAGAAGGGAAATACTGGAGAACTTGATCTTTCATCAGCAGAGACCCTAGGCATGATTTTATTCAGAACAATTTAGGAAAGTGCTTGTGCTGCTCTAAGTTAAACTGGAGGCCATTTCAGATCTCTGGGGTGTAAAAACTAGAGAAGACCTAAAAGTAGAATAGAGTTACTTCTGCTTCCTTGTCTTTGAACAGTGAAGAGCATGAGCCTGGCAGAAGTCAGAACTGATCTTAAAAAGAGGGATACTGTCAGCCACATTAGAGTAATTTCTAAAACTAGGCACCTGACCTAAAGATCACTTAATGAGCTTTGAATGATACCCTTAAGAACCAAATAAGTTCCTGCAGCAGTTTCATCATTTACTTTAATAGGAGCAAACCTCAATACTCCAAAAGCCCCAAGGTGATGTTCAATTAAAGGCATGATGGGATTTTATCTGCAATCCCAACAATCTCACCTCCTCCCATGCTACATGTCCATGGCATAAGGTACAACTGTGGGATCAGGGATCAGATTCCAATTGTGCCCTATTGTTGGTGCAAGGAGAGCCCAGTATCATGATCCCAAACTCCATGTACAGTGGCAAGTAGCAAGCTGGGTGCCCGGTACACCTGGATTGGAGTAGCAATCAGCTGATGGGGGCTCCCAGCCTTTGGGGTGCATTGGAGCCTTTGAGTCCAATTAATTCCTGAGGCTGGGAGTGCTAATCCAAGTCAGGCACATCAGGGACCCAGTTTGCTGCTTGCTGGTGCAGAGGAAGCCCTGCACCCACAACAGACCACAACTGGGAACTGATCCCCTATCACGCAATCACGTCTATGACCATACACGTGTGGTATTACACATATTATGTGTAATAACTTTGTGGCTTATTCCCTGTTTTATTGTGCCAAATAACTGCATGAACACCTAGCTGGTTTACTACTTAAGACAAGATTAATGGGTTAATCAAATCTTAAGTGTAAGGTCTGCCAGGGGCCTAACAGCCTGATGTGTGTTACACAGGGGAAGGTACAGAGAACTTTATGATACTCTCCAAGAAACAGCTATCTAGGAGGGTAAGCATGTACCCAACATTACTGGCTGGCATCCCTTATTAAGCAAGGTATACAAATAATTAAATGGAAATCCCTCAAACTCTTCTAGCAACCACAGGTATATCAGCAAAACCACATAGCTAATTGTACTGAAAGCAGCTGACATCTTAAAGTAAGGGTGTGTACAAAGGTACACATGTACACTGCAACAGTTACATGTGCAGGTGCCTGTAGCAATACAAGTGCAGCAAAACCACTCCAATTTTAAGTCTACTTCATCCAGGGTCAAAGTCAGGGTGAATTAACTCTCTTGTATTGCCACAAGCTCATGCATACATAACTGTTAGAGCATAACAGCTGTTGTGTGCTCCCAAGCATCAGCTCCTCCTCCCCTTTTGAACCTGCTCCAAGTGAATTTTTGTCATGCTTCCCTTATCACAGCATTAACCTTACCTTCTTTAGAAGCCTCAGGTGAAAAACACTTATTTTACTGATTACTATTTTGGCAGTATCTGATTATCACTTATTGTCATCCCATTTGCTAGAACAGGTTCAAATAGCCATCAGGCTATAACAACATATGACAACCACCTATAACAACCAGGGTTCAGCACTTTAGTAGTCTCCTAGACCCTGGAAATAGAAACTATAAATCCTCCTTTCCAGCAACATTGCATCCTGCTGTGTAAATGAACTTAATCCAGTGCCTCCTAGTAACTCACCTGTAATATGTTTTGTAAATATAACATAAAATTACCTAGAAGCTGAATTAGCAATCATTTGACCAGTTGTCAGTGACTGTTACACTTCCTAAATTAATAATTTTACATCAATTGAGTCAATTATATTTGGAAATTTGAAATCTGTACCTTATCAGCAGCTGCATCCAACTTTGCATTCAACGCCTGAGCTTTTTTCAAATATCTGTTGATTTCCTGAATGTCTCCAAATGTGTAAAATTCTTCACCTTGCCTAGAGTAACTCTCCAATTCCTCAATAAATCGTTCACAACGGATCTGATAAAATGTGTACATATTTCAAATGTATTGTGTTAGGATATTTAAACAACAGTTGGAATTAAGCATTTTTACATAGTAATGGTAATCAAACCTCTGACTGTTAGGCTGCAGGGTTTTAAAATAATGATTTCTATTGAATAGCAATGTTACTAATACACTGAAAATTTTGTCTTTGATTTCAATATGCACAGAATCAAGCCTCATGCCCATAAATTCCCATTTTTTATTCTATCTAGGTACTACTTAGTAGTCATGTAACAATACATTCTGCAAATTCTCAGAACAGTCCAAAAAAAAACAACCAGTTGCAGTTCTTCCAAACATGTGCTTCAGTGAAACTACTCAAATGAAAACCATTTTTCAGGACTTGAATTATATTTTTTTTCTTGGTGACTATGCAGATAATATATCTATAGATACAAAAACAAAACTCATACACAGACAGACAGATATATTTAAAACGTACATAAGCAATAGAATTTATAGTATACTTTTTACTCCTATTTTACAAGGCTTACATATACTTTACAAAAACAATTACAGCATTATACAAGATTGCCCCTGCAAAGATCCTCCAGCCCCACGGTTGTAGGGAAACCTCCAGGATGATGGGGATCACTGCAACAGTGATCCTCTAGCCCTGGGGGTTTCCCCACACCTTTGGGACAGGTGAATCACTGCAGTGTGGTGATCCTCTGGCCACAGGCATTTCCCGTACCCCCAGGGTGGTGGGGAGATCACAACAGTGGTGATCCTCCAACCCTAGAGGTGCCTGGGAACCCCCATGGGTAGAAGCCCCTCAATTGAGGGGGGTTCCCAGCCATAGGAACTTGCTTATTCCTGGTGCAGGGGGATCCCATCACACCTTTACTTGCATGTGTAGAAGGAGCCCAAGTAAAATAAATCTGCTACATGGTACACTTATGTTACAAAACTGTATTATTTAAACATTCTCTTGTACACAGTGGGCACATCTACACATGCCATTAGTGAGCCTCAATAAACTCTGGCGCAGTTTGAGGCAGAGTCAGCTGCTCCTAGGCAAAGGCTCTTCACACGTGCCCTGTACTGCAGCAGTTTGAGCCACAACAGAGCAGCCCCAGGCTGCCAGCAGGTTTGGGGGAGTTATCCCTGGGCTCCAGGTCACGGCATCAAGTGGCCGTGGGGTTGGCTGGGGCACAAGAGCGCCCAAAGAACAGAAGCATGTGGCTAGGTGGCAGGCAGAGGTCTGGCCTCCTGCTGCCTGGGCTATAATAAACTGTGGTATAATAAACTGTGCATTTAGGTGCAGTTATTTTCACCATGGTAAGATAGTAGTGTACCTGATAGTACTATCTTACACAAGTGAAAATTAGTTTGCTGTGGTCTAATAGTGTTGCACATGTAGACTGTGCCGCTTTCCACCATAGCAAATTAGTCTACTGCGCACTTAAGCGCACATGTAGAAGCACCCAAAGTTCAGTTTTAAATTGTATCTGGCATACTTCTATTGGCTTCCAAGGGACTAATCACATAGTAAAAGTTAAACACATTGATAAGTGTTTGCATGATCAGGGATTTCAAGGTTTCATGCTTATAACTTTCATAACTGTCACTGAAAGTGCTATACAGCTGTTTCATCAGGACAGAGCAAAAATATTAAATGTGGCTTAGACTGTGTAAGTCATGCATAGTATAAGCAGTGTAAAACAGAAATATTAAAATTAATTAATGAAAGTATACTAACATAAACTAATATATGTCTATTTAATATAATTAATTCTGCCTCATTTTTAAAGGTGATGTAAAATAAATTAACTGAAGACATACCTTTACCTTTCACATTTATTATTACATTACAGGTAATTCACTTAAAACATTCAAGTAGCACAAAGGTTTCTAAAATGCTGTTATTACAAACCTTAAGTCCCGCTTGAAATTGTTCTATTTTTTCTTTAATTATCTTTCTGTGCTCTTCAAAAATCTCTGCCATTCGTGCATACCACTGAAAGACACTGTTGTTCAGCCTAATATCTGCCGGTGATAAGTTTGTACATTCTATCAGGAAAGCAAGGCAATTTTTAGCATCCACTAATTTCTGTTCCAGCTCAAGTATGTCACATGTTTCCACTTTCTGTACATAGGCCTGGAAGATACAAAATTAAGCAAAGAGGGGTTTTGACAAGAAGGCATGTTATATATTTAATCTGTCAATATAATATCTACAATAGTCTACATATTAAACTTGGAAATAAAACAGATCCAGAAATGATGATGTGGAGAAGATGCTATGCTAACTTGAAATCTTTGGTATGAAATACTGCTACAAGTGTTGTTAAATGAGTTGGATGATGCGTTATTTTGTTGAAGAAAGATAAGGATATTTCTACACTGGCATGAGAAAAAACAAAATACTGACTGCCAAATATTCCCAAACCACTTATGCCACTCATAAAGTGCAGTGTGAATGGCTCAGGGTAGCCCTGAGAGCATGCCCTGGGACTATGCTCAAGCAAGTCAGTCTTAGTGCAATGTTAGAATGAATCCAGGGACAATGGACATAATGTTGCCTCACAGAGCTAATAGAAATGTTGTGCCTATAACTGTGATCTCCACATGGCATTTACAGAAATCAAAAAATGTCTTTGCTCAAGTCAGTTGATCTGGCCCTCAGAGCCTCCTGGAAAGGAAAATGAAAAGATGTTATAGCTCTGTGCCAGCTCCAGGAAGGAATACAGGACAGAGTAAGAAATAGCACTGGTCTATCTGAGCCTTGTCACATCTCCAATGGAGTCAAACAAGGTTGTGTTCCTGGACCCATTCTGTTCAACCTGGTCTATGTAGCTCTTGTGAAGAAGGCAGCTGGAAACAATCTAGCTAGTGTGAGTTATGATGCAGTACCTATGAAACGTTCAATACTGCATGGTTGTGAACAATTAAAAAAAATCACCTTTTAGCTACATTGAGATGACTAAAGTGGTGACTGCATTAAAGAAGCATTCCAAAGAGAACCTGCGGATGCCAGCTGGCTGCTTTGCAGTAGCCACAAACAGATCCAGGATCACAATTAATTTAACAAAGAATGAGGTCATGTATCTACTAGCACCTGGCAAGACTTGTGTGCTACTGACATTGTACATTAATGGAGAATGATTTTTTGTGATTCATGAGTTCTGCTACCTGGGCAGTGTGCTGATACACTGAGTTAGTATTGATGAGAATGTGGTCCCACATCCAGAAAGCAAATGCAGTCTTTGGCAAAATGACCAAAACGGTCTGAAAGCAATGAAGAATCAAGGTCTCCATAAATGTGAACATTTATAAGACCATAATACTTATTTATTTGTTTTATGGGTGTAAACGTTGTACAGACTACACCCCCAGTAGCTGGAGAAAGTCTGGATACATTTCTTTTGTTTCCTCCCAAGGCCAGGTGATTTTACTGACAATACAATGACTAGGTCAGTAGTTCTCAACCTCTGTAGACTCAAGGTACCTCTTGTTAAACTCATAGCACCTTTCTGAAAATGCCAGTTCTCAGTTTTTATTCATTCTTTCACTACAGGAAAAATTATAAAACAATTCTCCTGTTGCAAAAAACTCAGAAAGACCCCCACAGGTCAGAATATTTTTAATGCTATGAATTCCTATTGGAAACCTCTAGATTTATCTTGTGATTTATGTCTGCACATCTAGTAATAGCATCCCACAGCACCCTTGACAAGATCTCAAGGCACCCCAGAGTGCTGTGGCACCCTGGTTGAGATTCACTGGCCTAGGTGCTGCTGTAGGTTGTCATTATAGTACTAAAGCCCTGATGATGAGGAAGCAGTACTGGGCTAGCCAGAATGCAGACATGGGTGATTGGCACGTGACTAACAGCTGCTATACAGAGAACTGGCAAAAGTCAACTAGCCAAGACAGCATTTTGGAGACCTACTGAAAGTTCATCACATTCAGAGAAGGATATCAGCTAACGGCTGAAAACAGACAGTGAAGACCTGAAAATCAAAGAACATACTGACTTCTTTGAGCTTTAAGACAATGCAGATCTTCAAGAAAAGTGCATTAGGCTTAAGGAGCCACAACACCAGAACTCAGAGACCATGCTTCTCCAACAAAATTGTTTATGGCACAAAAAGGAATATAGTCAAAGGTTTTTTTGGTCACAAATGGCCTACTGAGTCATATATAGGGACCTAACAAAATCACAATTTTGTGGATTTCACAGGTTTCACGAAATCCACAAAATTTGCAAGAAAAAAAAAGAAAACTTACTGAAAATAAAATGCTGGCTCCCCAAAGGGCACTACAGTCTTCAGGGCAGTGTGGCAGCCTGCCAGACTGAGTCGGGGGTGGTGACCGCCCACTTGAAAGGCTGCCAGCAAGATGGCTGTCACCCCCACCCCTCTGCCAGGGCTGCCTGTCATGTGGCCCCACCCCTCTCCACCAATCAGCAGCAAGGGGCAAGGCCACATGACAAACAGCCCTCACAGCCAATCAGTGGCAAGGGGTGGGGCCACCAGGGCCCTTCAGTCAATCAGAGGCATGGGGGGGCGCTGCACTCCACCCACAGAATAGCTGCTGGGTTCTGTGTTCTGCCTATGGAACCAGTGGGCATCTGCCTCGAATTTAGGAGGTCTCTAGTCATATCCATACTCATACTCATTACACCACTAGGCAGAGATAATTAGATTGGACAGCTGAAACCATCTGAAGAGTTCTTTAGCACCCTCTAAAGTTAGTAAAATAGAGGATCCCATGGAAGGGGATGTTAAGTAATAGCTCTATATATAGGACTTAAAAGTGGAATATATCTCAAAGTTTGTATGAGACACCAACTCCTCTTTAAACTCAAAACAGATTTCTCTCTCCATAGAGTACATGTCTCTGACTAGCTCAAGATATTAAGAATGGGAGATAAGGCATGTCTATGCCACTTGATTCCAATGCCAAGCAGCACTGTGTAGAAGTAATATAGCCACCTCTGTGTGCGTGTCACCCTGTGCAAAAACAATTGCACTGCTTCCAATTCCAGAGGCATAGCTAAAAAGTTTTGAGCCCTGGGTAAAACACCTTTGTACCTGGAGGAAAAAGGGGATCAGTTTTACTTGCCCCAGGGACTTAAATACCCGCACTGCTGCTGCTGTGTCCCTCTACCCAGCTCCTACATCCAGGTGCTGGTGGCTGTGTCTCCTATGGCTCCTACAATGGGGCAGCACAGGGCTGCTCCTGTTGCGGCAACAATTCTGGGGGAAGAGGTGCCAATACAATGCTTCCTGTAAGTAGGCATGAGTAGATGATGCCCCACTCACCAGTCCTAGTTATGTTACTGTTAGAAAGTAGTGTGTGTGGTGCTGTGCAACGTTTCAACTTGGCATTACCTAGCACAGTAACTGAGAGGTACAGACATGTCCATAGGATTTATCCTATCTAATGTAACTGCTTGAATCCAGCCAAAGCAAGTAATGACCAGAAGTTTATACCATTTGATAACAAAATCTGTTCTATCACTTGCAAGAAGGGGATTACAGACTGCTGATGGACATTCAAAACAAAAAAACAAAAAAACCCCACACTTTACCAGAAGCAACAGCACATTCGTTTATCGCAGCTCTGCAATGTTTGTATCAATCAGGTGCTTCAGCCAGGCTTTTTGGCACTTTTATCTAATAGCTGATTAAATCAGCTATTAGATAAAAGTGCCAGAAAAGCCCCACTAAAGCACCCGATCTATACAGACATTGGGTGAGCCGGGTCCATCTAACATGATGCCTCTTCTGAGCATGCAGGGACGCACCAAGTTTAAAAGTGCTATTTGGGGGAGGGGGAGGGGGAGGGGTACGTCTGTAAGCAGCCATAGTTTCAGGCTTGTTTCTAATTGTCACATTGTTCATATTGCATAAATTACAATTAGCACCTCTTAACACTAAGCAGAAGAGCATAGGAACTTAAGTCCCAATTGATCCTAGAAGTCACATATGAAATATCTGCTCCACTGAAATCAGTAGCAAAACTCCCATTGACTTTAAACAGGGACACTTCACCAATGAGGCCAATTTTAAAAAGTTTACATGGTTGCTGTGTATCCAACAGCAGATCAAGAAAGTTAGTTCTTTCTTGAAATATTTTCTAAAAGGTATACCTTAAGTTCCATTAACTCTTGTGTGTTTGAAGGAGTGGTAAGAGCTTTTTCTGCTATCTTCTCAAACTCATCACATAATCTGAAAAGCATGAAAGACACACAAAGTGTTTTTACCAGCATAACATATTCTTCTATCTTAATATTAAACTAAAAAGAAAAATTGTTAGATTTTATTCTGTTATAACAAAAAATAAAAATATATTTTGTTGATTCCATGTACAAGTAAGATTAAATATCCCCTTCAAATCTTAGAAAAATGCAACAAGAAAATAAAATGATGTACTTTTATGTAGTCACATTTAATGTAATATTTATATTTACCTCAGGTTTATATCTTGATGATCTTTGAACATTTTGGCAATAATTTTTCCACAAAGAGCTTCTGCGCGCTTTGCCAAAGCTCTGATCAATTCATCACAATGTAACTCAAACATTCCTAGACGAATATACTGGAATACAAATATAAAATGAACAAACTCAACACATGATGTTTAAAAGAAATAATAAATAATCCTTAACTGCTGTGTTCACAACATTCTTTATATTTAGTACTACAAGACTGTAATAGATATATTTTTTTAATGGAGAATTTGAGAGGTAGATGCCTCACACTCTTAAATAAGAAATTACTGGCTTCCCTGCTAGTATTTAGTTGAGAAGGATATGATTTTTTTCTGGGGAGAATTTGCTTTAATGTACAATAGTGTAAATTCAAAATAACTTCACTTACTTAAGTGGAGTTACTCCTGATTTAAACCAAAGTAAGTTAACAGGAGAATATATTTAACTCTAAATTCACTTCTTATATACAGACCCTGTAATACTAACTCCATGAACTTCACTAGAATGAAACTTAGAATGAATCTGGCCCACTAGGTTCACTCCCCAGAGTATGTCAATATGATTTTTTAAGGAATACCTACAGCTTTTTAAATGACATCCCTGTAATTTTATTTCAGCAAAAGCATAGTTTTCTCCATAGTTGCACCAAGTCAGAGCTAAAGGTTGGCCTGAGCTTTATAGACTGATAGACTGCATGGTCATAGATCATAAGAAACTAGGGCTGGAAGGGACCACATGAGGTCATCTAGTCCAGCCTCCTGCTCAAGGCAGAAACATCCCTGACTAAGCTATCTCAGCCAAGTATGTCTCACCTGTTCTTGAAAATTTTCAGGGATGGAGAAAGTGATTCCAAAACTCCAACCTGTATTTCCCCTGCTGTATTTTGAGGTCATTGCTCCTAGTCAGACAAAGAGAAAAGCCTATCTCCATCCCCTTTATAATGGCCCCTCAGGTATCTGAAGACTGTTATCAGAGGGGATGACTGTTCTTCGTAAGTCATGTTTCTCAGGCATCTAATATTTCTTGTTGCTCTCTGCTGGAATTTTTCAAGTCTGTCTACATCTTTCTTGAAGTGTGAAGCCCAAAACTGGAGCTGGTACTCAGATGAGACCTTATCACAGGCCACATAGAGCAATCCCTTCCCTTGATCTGCAAATGACACTCCAGTTAATGTAATCCAGTATGCTCTTGTTTTTTACTTGTTTGTTTTGCAGCTAGAGCACTGTGGGCTTATATTTAGCTTATTGTCCACCATAACCCCCAAATATTTCTCTAACATACCACAGACTAGCCAATCATTCTACAGTGTGTATTTGTCTATGCAATTATTCCAATTGATTTCAGACGCTCTCTCCAATTAATCCGGGTCATTCTGTGGGATACATTCAGACAAAATTACAAGGATCTGATGCTCATGTAAGTAATGATGGGCCTATGTTAACTGTTGAGAACGCTGAAAAGTACACTGCAGGATGCATGGAGCATGCTCCCACTTTGATTGCTGGTCACAATGGTGAGATCTGGGTTACAGTTACATTGCCATCAAGCTCAGTGGAAGGTTGCTTGTTGTTTGGGACTGAAGATCTTCCATGGACATTCAGTCTATAAGGCCTTCACCTTTGGCTTCATTTACCTCATAACCCCACATAATATAGAGGCTGTTAAAGTCACCAACATACAGGGCTGGGATTGGTGCATTTGGGAATGCTTCAGCCATTATAAACTAGGGGCTTTGTATACGTTGGTAATATGCAACTCTCCTATTTTGATGGCAGTAGTGTAAGTGTTTTTTTCTTCAGCTGGGGGTAAGACATCAAAATCCATGATGGTGGTCTTCACTTATATAGCTAAACCATATTTTGGACAGTAATGGCTAGTCGTAAGTCATATATACATGTCATATAAACATGTATATAATAGCAGCTGGCCTGTTAGGCACTGGAGACATGGATTTCTTAGAGTGCAAGAACATTGATGGTATGTGTCTTCATCATATTCACAGATACTCACACTTCACCTCAGAAAGTCCCTCAATGTTGAGTTGGAGGATCCCTGTTTCAGGACCTATATGGCTAAACACAGTCATCGGTAATCCCTTGATTCAAGGAAAATCTCTACCAGACCTCACTGATGGGTCTGAGGTGACTCTTTGAGCCACAGATCCATCTACAGAAGTTGCTGATCTTTCCACAAGGGAGAATAGGCTGTAGGCTCTCCTTTCTGCTTCAAGGGCAAGCTGCTTTATCTCAAAAGGGATGCCACTTTGTTGAGGCTGCAGTGCCACTGAAGACAGTCTGCAACCAGCTTCTCCCAACTCTTGATCAGCATCCATTTTCTTGAGGTATGCCTTCAAAGTGTCCGTGTAGTATTTCCTCTGGCCACTGAGAGGTCTCAGGCCATTACTAATCTGGGAACAGAGCAATTGTTTTGGGAGCTGAGAATTGGGCATCCACACACAATGTTGGTCTAGCAAAGTTGGTGCTTGAGGATGACCGATTTAATGTTTGTAATACTGGCTTCAGCAAGCATGCTGACATTTGGGCAGCAATCTTCCCATTTGATATGGAGGATTTTCTGATCCCTCTTCAGGTCGATGATACCTCTCCAGGCTCTTGAGATGACAACGGTAGGTCATCCATGTTTCACATCTGTAGTGAAGAGCATGGATGATGACTGCATTGTAGGCTTGGATTTTGGTGTGCTTAGCAGCTACTTTTTTTTGTACATTCTGCCTTCCAAAAACAAGGTGCATGTCTTGTTTGGGGGCAACTGGCAATATATATATATATATATATATATATATATATATATATATATCGGTATTCTTCCTCTCAACCTCAACACATCCCTATGTACCACTCTGTTAATAGTGAAAATAATTAAAATAAATTAATACCCTTAATTCTCCAATTTGTTTCTTGTACACAGCTGATCATGACCAAGATCATTTCAGATATCAATATCCATGAAACATTTTTGCATCATATACCATTACTTAAGCATAATGATATAACATTTTCCTGAAATATATTGTATGTATCATCGCTTGGACTCAATTTCTTGGAAAAGTATTCCTCATGAGTTTGTGTGGTTGCAAAAATCTACAAATATTAGAATCAAACCAAGTTATAACATATATTCCAGCAAAATGAATATTGGCCCTCTTTTAGGTAAAAAAGACAGCTATAGTTTAGTAAGAAACAGGCTTTCATAAGACAAGCCGATTTATTAACTCAGGATTATTTCAGAATCATACAGCCATAAGCCAGTTTTCTTTTCCACAAGAGGAGGAAATTTTAAAAATCAGCAGATTTAAGTAGAAAAGCAGGAACTACAAAAAGTTCTCTCTTTGTAGAAACTCTGCTGGTGGTGCCTCACAGGGATTCTTTCTGTTACAAAAGGGCTATCTGGGAAGAATTACCATGCAGATTAATGTTCCTGACAGTGGTTCTCTCTCAATGTAGTGGAAGCTTTCACTGAAAATTGATTTTCAGTGTTAGTGCTAACACTGTCTACTTTAACACTACAAATCACTTGGCACACCCACATGAGATATGAGTAAAGCAGCAAAGGCTGACTGGAAAAGAATTATGCTTCAGCACTTGGAAGGCTGTGGCAGGGCACAGGGACAGAGAGGAAGGCATTAATGACTGGTTCCTCCTGAATCTGGGAGGACACCCACAGAAGCTGCCGACCCTGTCAGGGGGGCTTCCAGCCCTATCGACAGCATCAGAGTTGGCCATCAGAGGGTGCACTGGCCCCATCGGGGGGGGGGGGCACATGCACCCCGTGCACCCCATGCACCCCCTACCAGTCGCCTAAGGAGGAAGGTATAGCTACATCTCCTCTGAATGGATAACCTTAACCCAGAAAGATATTCCAAGATCCACTGGCTTTAAGAGTCAAATCATATTTCTACAATGGTAAAAAGCCGTATGTAACTAGGGGTGGCCAAGCACAGCACCAGCCCCGGGCATTGTCTTAGAGGAGGAGTCTGCATCACAGTGGCAGCAGCACACCTACACTGTGGAGCCAACCCTAGTCCCTGGTAGGATTTTGCTGACAGCACAAAACTTCTTAGTTGGCAAAATGCAGAGAAAAATACATGAAAAGGAATTCACAAAAAGTTCCTACAGGCTGGGGAGAACTCCCTTCTCATCAGGACAGCAGCAGAAAAGGATCTTGGAGTCATTATTCATGCCAAAATGAACATGGGCTGACCCCCCCCCCCTGCAGTCAGGAAAGCCAACCGCACCTTCTCATGCATCCACAGATGCATCTCAAACAGGTCCAAGGAGGCAATACTCCCCCTCTATGCGACACTGGTCAGGCCGCAGCTGGAGTACTGCGTCCAGTTCTGGGCGCCGCACTTCAAGAGGGATGTGGACAACATGGAGAGGGTCCAGAGGAGGGCCACTCGCATGATCAGGGGACAGCAGGGCAGGCCCTATGAGGAAAGGCTATGGGACCTGAACCTGTTCAGCCTCCACAAGAGAAGGCTGAGGGGGGATCTAGTGGCTGTTTACAAACTAGTCAGTTTGTAATATAAAGTCGGGGGGGACCAGCAAGCACTGGGGGAGTCCCTGTTCCCTCGAGCGCTACCAGGAGGAACTAAAAATAATGGTCACAAGCTGGCAGAGGGTAGATTCAAGCTAAACATTAGGAGGCTTCACTGTCAGGGCGGCTAGGATCTGGAACCAACTTCCAAGAGAAGTGGTGCTGGCTTCTACCCTGGGGGTCTTTAAGAGGAGGTTGGATGAACACCTTGCTGGGGTTGTTTGACCCCAGTACTCTTTCCTGCCATGGCAGGGGGTCGGACTAGATGATCTGTTCAGGTCCCTTCCGACCCTACCAACTATGAAACTATGAAAAAGTCCTATTAAATCATTTCATCCTTTTCTTGCTGATGCCAGAGTGTTATTCTGCAGTGTGTTATACAATTGTGGTGCTATCATCACTTTTAGCAAAATAATTGATATTAGACAGTATTAGGGGCTAAATCCTGCTTCCAATGAAGTTCATAAAAATTCCAAAGAAATTCAATAGAAGCAGGACTATGCCATGTACAGTGAAGATGCGGGAAACTAATATTCATTCTGAAGTGTTGGTAAAGACTTTCAGTATGTATAGGATAAATGGATTCTCAGTGCTTCAGCTCTAGGTGTGATATTCTATTGGCTACCACTGTCCTACTGAAACAATACCTGTGCCCTTAATACCTCCATGACAACCTTAAACATAAAAGGCAGAGGATACAACGACCCCCATTTTCTTCACTGGTACAGAATCTCTGCCAAACTCCTCAGAAGCAGCATTCATCATTAGAAGTGGATAAGAAGGGCAGATTATGAGATTCATATAACTCGTATAACCAGTTACTGTAAAGTAAGTAAGAATTCTTTCTTCTCCAAGCAATTGTTCACAGGACCCACTTTTGATGATTAGCAAGCACCTCCTGGCTTGGAGGTGGGTGTGAAGAACCATATTTAAACAGGGATTCAAAGCCTGCACAATCAAAAAGGATGTCTGAGCTGTTCAGCATACTAGCCATATTGTAACAGGGAAAATTTTGAATCTTGGGAAATCTGTTTCAGTCATACAGGCTAAATCTCATTAGTAGCAAAGAACCTAACATAAATAAGTATTTTTCATTTTTTGTACAGTAGGTATAAGAACAACCACAAAAACGAATATTTTACTACCTAATGTACTTACTTTATATATAAAATGGATTTAAAATGCTTAGTATACAAGAGAAGTAGACAAAGCTAAAGGTTTTATCTCAACCACCTGCAATTAGAAAAGAGGTTAGATGCCTTTTGCCCTTTCTGCCCTCAGCTGAATGAGAAGCAAGAGAGTATTCAGGGTTCAGGCAAAATACATGAAAAGGTTGCTGGCCAAAAACATGCATACCAAAAGGGGGCTCCTCTGGGCAATTATTCAAAGAAAAATGTCCATCTAGAAAACAGATGAACTCCAAGTTAATACAGTATATTAACACAAAACTAATATTAAAATAAATTCAGTGTTTCTCTATAAACATCAATATAATTTACCTTCCTAGACGTGTACTGTATTTCCTCACTGAGGTTTTGGTACTTAACAATTTCTCCGGTTATTTCTTCAAAGGTATGTTCCTCTGTTAGGAACTGATCAACATCCTGTTCAGCTTGTTTGTTTATTAAGAGTCTAAACTTATCATATAGTTTGAGATGCTCCATAGGTGCAATGCTTGCTTTGGTGATCTCATTTTTTATCCTTTTCCTATGTTCATTCAAGATTTCATCAAGGATAATAGGCTTCAAGTTACCAGATTTGATTTTGCTTTCAGGCTTTGAAAAAAACAAATATATTGTTCCAAATTTGGTGTTGTTATATTCATCCCATGAAAAATAAATATTACATAGAATAATCAATAAACATGACATAATCAGGCAGCTCTCTAAATATGGAAATACATCATATTAAGCATACTCAATCTCTAAAGAAATGAAATATCTGTTCAAAGGACAAATTTATCGTTTTCATTATTTTTTCATTTATTGTCACTTTATAGCTTATTGACTAAAGCCCTGATAAAAAGAAGCATTACTGTACTAAGCACGTGTTTAACTTTAAGCATCTTGAGGGACATACTGTCTTACTATCTCGCCAAGCTTCACATTAGTGTTGACTAAGGGAGTAACAGGATCACAGAACAGAAAACCTTCAGACAAGAAACTTATTCACCTAACCCAACTTTCTGCAAACAACGAGAAAGAAATGAGCACTCAGCACTGTCAAAATATGGACCAGTCCTTTAAATTGCAAGTCAACTCTTTAAAATAAAACAGGTAAAACTTTAAGTTAAAGTCTCATTTTATGATTTTTAGTGCTCTTTATCTTAGAAAAAGCTCTCACTTGCTGTATTATTTTAGTTTAATTCATAGTTCTTAAATGACATTGAATTATAAAATTATGGTTGGAAGGAACCTCAGAAGGTCATCTAGTCCAACACCCTGCTCAAAACAGGACCATCCCAATACAAATCTTTTAAATTTAAAAGAGATTATTTTCACTTCTAGAAATTATAATTAATTTAAAATAATGTATATTAACAAAAGTCTATCCTCTGGGTTAGGAAAAATGAAGGCAGTTTTCTTAAAAATAAAGAGAGAGAGATTTTAAGAAATACAAATATGCTTTTGTACTGTACAATACGTTTATAACAATAATCACAGAAAGCCAAAATACAAACCTACCAGAAATAAGGGAGATTATTTCTTTTATAGAATAGTAATAATATTTTAGATTTATATGGTTTGGATTCTTTGAAATGGTCCATTATGTTCTAAAAATGAAATGTATTACTATGAAAAACACGAAAGTAAAATTATTAATCCAATTACTTATAATCTAAATCTAGCAAAACCATCATAAGAAAACAAGAACAAAGTTATAAAAGAATAGCTTCTTACCCACTTAGAATACAATTTGGTCTCAACTCTTGGCACAAGATTGACAGCTTTAATCATAATGTTATAAATATTCAGAAAAATAACTTCATAGTCATTAAAGTCAGGCTCAAACCTAATACAGTCATCGTCAAGGATCAGTCTCATGATGAAGCCTGGATGCTCATAGGTTCGAACAGATTTCTAACAAAATAGAATAAAATATTAGTACCTGAATTCACGTAGGAGAAGTCAAAGAATTATATGAAAATCAGTCTGTCATGTTTTTAAATCCCTACGGGCTCTAACTATAAATGACATCCTCTACATAAGGTAATCCTCATAAAAACTGCATGTTAAAACAGCATGTATAATGGGGATATAATTTACATAAAATTGACAGTCATTAAGACTGCATTCAACACTATTTTATTAGTAAATGAAGGCGGGGGGGTAGAGTTCTACAAAATAATCCAAAAAAAAACTTTTATGAAGTTGACTGCACAGATTAAGGTTGTAGCAGCTTTGTATTATTAACAATCAGGTATACAACACTACATGCAAGGTCAAATTCTGTCCTCAGTGTATAGATCCATTTACTTTAACAAAGCTACTGAAGATAATAAAACTAACAGTGAATGTTGCATCTCAGCCACAGTGTAACTGGAAGCAGAATCTATTGTGAAAACATGATTCTGAGAAGCATTTTAGGGGTAATATTTGTACCAGAGAGCACTACCCTTGTTGTCATGTGGATTCTTAAATATCCAAGCATGTGATCATTAATTCTGCATATGTTCATGATGAAATCTTTACATTTTTCACCAACTCTCCTTGATTGGACTTCTTTTTCCTGTTAAAACCTCTTTAACCTCTCAGTCACCATGTTAACATATTCTAAATCTACTGAAATAACTGTTAGAAATAGATTTGCACAGAAGTATGTGCTTACTGATGGACAGAGAAAATTATCTATCAGACAACGACATTCATTTAATGTATAAGCATAAAAAACAACAGGAGAGCTAGACAGGGTTCAAGCTGGGAGGGCATGAGAGATATCTTCAGAGCATGCTTCCCACCTCTGAAAAATACCATGGAAATTACTTCAACAGGATTATTTGGGATGAGGACTTCAAGTATATTTGAGGGCAATGCTGAGTAAGAGAGGACAGAGCCAGGGGCCAAATATATGCCACAGCAATCTGCCCTTCAGATTCAACAGATGCCACTCATATCTTTACATGGCTGTGCTCCTTCAGAAAAAGTAGTGTGCGTTGTGCAGATGTGTGAGTATACGATCGAAACAGCTTACTTGCAAGAGCTCTGCTTCCAAGGTGTGTAATGGAACCTTAAAGGTGTGCAAATAACTCTATACCTGCTGCAGTACAAATATCTTTCCCACTAATCCCTAGGATTGACAAGGTTTGGATGCACATTAACATTTTTCATTCATAAATTTAATTGAATGCAATTTCTTTTGATTATTTGATCTTTAGACCCCAAACATGTTAATAGTTTCCTTTTTCCCTGACAAGGAAATAAAGATATGTCAGTATTATATCCTTTTGTATTTATGCTTACATAAAAGGAAACATGCACACCTAAAAAAATATTCTATCATCTAAGAAGGCAGCTTGTCATCATCATTTTTATTACTTCTTTTTTATTAACCTTTGCAGAAGAATTAATTAAACAGAAAAAATAGATTGTATGTACATAGACTAGCAACACTGTCTAACGCTACTTACTGGAGGTTGAACAATTAAATCTGTAAAGTCTTGCATCGATTTTAAGGCTAAGCTTTGCAGTTGTTGAGTCATTAAAGTTGCAGCACAGTTGAAGAAAGATTCTAATTTGGCACTGCTGGCATTGGTAGGCACTTGCTTTCGTTTATTACCTTGGTAATAAATGTTTTGTACTTCTGGAAACCACCTTGAAAGAACAAAAAAGTTTTTCTTAATGATGAGCATTAATAAACCGAAGATTTTTAAACATTTTTTCCTTTTAAATGTATGTTAAATATGCCCATTATAAGGTCAAAGTCTGCATGGCCAATTATAAATTACTTCAAGTGGTGACACAAAACCAGGTGAATTTATCCAAAAGAAGGTGCTTACCTAAAATGTTATCTATTATTCTAAACTAAATTCAAAATGTGTGACAGCCAGATTAGAGAGTTTGTTCTGGTCTCTCATTTCTTAGGTCAGCAGGGGCCATAAATGCTACAGAGATAAAATAGTCAGACCCTAAAGGTAATACAGTCCCTTGGGTCATTCGTGAGTGGAGACCTACTCAAATCATGATTTTGCAGATTTTGCAGAAATTGCAAAATTGGGTGATTTCCATGAAATCTGGGGGGAGGGAGGAGGACGTACTAAAAATAAAATGGGAAAAAGAAACTATTTCCATGGTCCTTCCAGCCACGCAGCCTGGCATGATAGGGGTTGTTGCCAGTATGAAAATGAGCAGGCAAGATGACTGTCACTCTTACCCCCCACTGCTGATTGGCTGAGAGGACTGCCTGTTATGGGCCCCCACCCCTCTCCACCAGTCAGTGGTCAGGGGAAGGGCTGCATAACAGACCACCCTCAGCCAATCAGCAGCAATGGCTATGGCCATATGATAGACAGCCTTCTTCACCAATCAGTGGTGGGGGCTAGGGCCACTGAGGCTCCTTTGCCAATCAGAGTTGTCGGGGGCCCCACCATGATAAGCCCATGAAAAGGGTGGCCAGCCCCATGACCTGCCCGCAAAATGGGCCATCCATTGCCTCAAATTATGTAGGACCCTATTCATGAGAGACCAGAGACTATATTAAGGATGAACACTCACAGGGGGAATTCTGTTCAACTGTCTTTAGCAAGAAGAAAACTGGCCACAGAATACAGTTTATGAATGGAGACAAATAAAGCACAAAAAACAGGTAAGGCAGTATTTTGCTAAAGGTGTAGAGGATGGGAGTAGAATACAGTTGATACTCTCATAGCAAAACCTGGACACCTGTTTATGAAATATGTTTAAAGTTGATCATGCGAATACAATTTTCATCTTAATGGTAAAAGGTAAGAAACTGTTCAATCTAGAATGTGCCAATAAACACCTGAAAGGAAAGCATATTTGCGGGAGACAGGTCCAATAAAAGATATCACCCCAAACTATCCTTGCCTCTTGTTTATTTCCTGGACCATCATGCTTATATCAACCCAACATACCAATAAACATGCAGCATTTCAAATAATAAAAAATACATATTCAAGAATGTGGAAAATGTTGATTTTTTTAATGTCATTAAAACACAAAGTGTAAACAAAATAGTAATGAATAATTGTGTGAAGTCAGTTGATTATATACCAGTTAACAACCTGAGGAATACAGAAACAAAAGACCTATGGGGCAAAATTTTAAAAAATTATGAATTTAGATTGTCACCATTGAACTGTTATAGATAGTACTAGGCACTCATACTCTGCAAATCAAATACTTTAAAATGATCCATATTGGACACTCAAGTACTATGGTACCCAAACTTATTAGTCACATCTTAAAAACTTACTCAGTCTCCCGTGTCTTCAAATTCCTATAAATACAATATTCTTTAAGTGACTTATTACCATGACAGTCAGAGAGCTGAATATATGTGTGATGAAAGAAACATTTCTACATCACTTATTTTATAGTGACAGTACCAGTAATACCACAACTTACTAATTTGACTTATATTACTGCTATATTTTATTTGAATTCAAGGGTTCTAGATGTGAAGCATTATAGATCTGAAACAAAAGCCATGGTTATAGTTTTTCATCTGTATTATTAGTATAAACAAACATGCTTTTATTAATTTGAAACTTAGATCTGTATCTTAACAAGAAATAACTTTTATGAATTATTGTTCTCCCATACAATGCAGTTGTCATTTAAAAGCAAAATTTTAGCCATCAAATTTGAAATATAGGTGATAACCAATGTGATAAACCCAACTGAAATATACTGACTGGATTAGCATTAATACGCATTAAAAAACATAGCAGCTGCAGTTGAAAATAAATGCAATATGTAAAAGAAGAAACATTGAGAAATTTTAGTGATTTGACATTAAAAAACCTAAGACTAAAAACTTTTTAGCAACCAATAAAAAACATATTGTTATGGTTCCTTTGAAAAACTAGAGAAAGATTTCACTGACTGACAACCAAAATATGGGGCAACATGGACTGTTTTTGTTTCAAATTTCAGGTACAGTTTTTCTCATCATCTAAAACCCAGAATAAAAGTTATTTTACAAATTATTATAATATACACAGAAGTTGTATGACTTATTTCTTCCATACATATCAAAATGTTTTCAAAGGGAAGGTAGGTATCATTCTCTTTGGGTTACCCAACAAAAGAAGAAGATTCTAATATTACAAAAGCCTTACTATAATAATAATTCTAATAATTCTATAATAATTCTATAATAATAATTCTATAATTCTATAATAATAATTCTAATATTACAAAAGCCTGTCTGTCTGTCTTTCCATAGCACTTTATTTGAACTCTGATGGACTGACTGAAACAGCCAATCAGAGTGCAAATACAGCATTTGGACAGGAGGTGGTGGCACGGCAGAGCACCACCATGATGGCAGGGACACAGGGGATGGAGTTGGCCTTGCCCACCCCCACCCCTGCTCCCTGAAGGTGGCAGCAACGGAGCGGATGGAATGGAGGGGGGCAAAGCCAGCACTGGGGGTCTCGCCCCCCTGCCTTGCCCCCTGCAGGTGGCAACAATGGAGCAGAGGAGGGGGAAAGGCCACCGGAGCTGGCCTCACCCCCCCTTGCTCCTTGGAGATGGCAGCAGTGATGCGGGGGGGGAGCTGAGTCAGGATGCCGTGGGGAGGCGAGGCCACCAGTGCTGGCCTCAGCCTGCCCCTCCCCCCTTCCGTCATCACCGCCTGCAGGGCTGACACAGCAGCGGTGGGGGAAGGAGGGAGCCTGACACAGCAGGGGAGGAGCAGGTGCACCACAGCAGCAGGAGAGGAAAGAGTGGACCTGGGCCGAGACAGTGGCAGGAGTAGCAGTGGGGGAAGGGGAGGAGTGGGCCTGGGCCCAACGCAGGGGGGTGGGGAAGAGAAGCGAACACGAGGGGGGGAAGAGCAGTGGGCCCAGTCTGGCCCGGCTTGACGTGGCTGCAGCAGCGGCCATGGCGGGGGGAGGGGAGGAGCTGTGGCAGGGAGTGGGGGAGCAGGCCTGGACCCCAAGCAGCAGGAGGGAAGGGGGGAGTGGGCCCAGATGGGGGGAGGGCACGGAGCTCTGTTCCCACCTGCTCTCCCCCCCATCATTCTTGACAGGCAGTTGGCTAATAGAACAATATATATCTTTGAATCTCTAAAAGATGTTCCATTATAATGGATCAATCTTTCACCTTTCTCCAAAACAAAAAAGAAAACATGAAAACATACAAGCACACACAAACAGAGCAACAAAATTAAGGATTTCTCACTGTATATAACTTGATCATACTTTTTAAGTAGAACATCTTTGGCAGATTCCATGTGCTTTACAGCAATAGTCTGGAAGAACGAGAGTTCCATTGATTCCTGACGACTGTGATATGCTTCTTTATCAACTAAGCGTAAATTTCTGTAACAAAGTAATAAAATTAATATATTTAGAAGCATACCTATTGCACACTTTGTAGTTCATTCTCTAGTTTCAGTATAACGATTATATCACAGCTACTATTTTAATTAAAAATATCAGGTGTTGTTAGATACTAGCAATTGTTATTTTAGGAAAACAAAATACCTGTTTAATGTAAATAATAAATATAAAAATAAACGGGTAACAAGCCACAGCGGATTTGAGGCTGGTTTTCTGTTCTGATGTCAATTAAGAAAAAGAGAGCCAATCAGGAGCAAGCAATTTTATCTAGCTTGAGAAGTAAAAAAAATGAAACTACAGGGCAATTAAATAATGAATTGTACTGAAATAATAAGGGAAAAAGGTTAATAGAGATAAGAAAGAAAGGAAGGCCACTGTTGAGCAAGATAAGAAAACAGTATAACCACTTTAAATGGTTCTCATCCAAGTGCTATGTTAACCAAAACAAGACAGGACCAAACAGCAGTGGTTGGTGAAAAGGCACTTGGATGATACCTTGCAAAAGCCCACCTATTTTGAAAACAAAGGCTGGACCAGGAGGGGAAGTCCTACCTTTTCCTACTACCTGGAAAATATTTAAAGGCTATGAGTAATGTGACCACAGAGACCAGCCCAATTTCCTAGGAAACATGCCTGAGAACATCACAAATAGAGGATCAGTTTATGAAGTTCCTCAGAACACAGGTAGAGATTCCAAGGAAATATAATTATGTATTTATTATTATATTATATTATATTATATTATATACACATACATGTAGTCATAGGGAAAACTTATACTTCCTACTGGTTGAAGTAAAGCCCTGGATTTAAGGGTCTCTCTACCCAGAGAACAAGGAGTCCCTGAAGTAGGACCTACACAAGAACGTAAGTCACCATTTACTGGGTCAGACCATAGGACCTGCTAGCTCAGTATTCTCTCTTACAGAGTAAGACTTTATATTCCTAACCCTACACCTCTAAGAACAACTGAAGACTGATCTACCTCCCTTCTAATTCTCCAGTAGATTTTTTATCATGAGCAAAGCTTCTAGCCTCTGAGGCACAGTCTCTCAAGAAGACCCATTGCCAAAATCTGAAGTAAATTAACAAAGGAAGAAAACCTGCTGGTGTTGATCAAATATGAACTAATTACATCTGCCTAGATAAACACCAGAATGTGAAGATATGCAGTCTTTCTCACCTTCTCCAGCAGAATCCATAAGGTAGGGGAGAGCTACCTTAAATTCCTAATGGATGACGTTCTAACGACATATTTGACTGTGTTTGGAACTGTCAAAACTATCTCAGCTCTGGATATATACTCACTCAAGTTTCTAAATGCATCACAAAAGCAGTGTCAACGTTCCAGGTCAAAGAGGAGCATGAAGATTGATTTGAAATGTCTTTTCTGATAAGCAGATTGGTGAATCCAATTCTACATCAATGTCTACACTAAAACTTTTCATCTTCTATTCACAGAGCAGAGGAGACATCATCAAAAGTTGTTTCTACAAACACTCCCATTTGACAGAGGAAGATGGTAGGCATGATAACTATTTTTTATCTTTATCCACATGTTCTTTAACTGATGAAGAGAACTGGTATAGACCAGGATGTCAAACATACAGCCTCAAGACTATATCTGGCCAACAGGGCTCCCAGAGGATACCAGAAAGTCAGGGCCAGAATGAGTGAGGGTGGGGCCTGCTCCCAAGCTGCCCTCTATGGAGCCCTGATGGGCACATGTGTTTGTGGCAGGGGAGTGAGTGAACAATGGCTATGTTAACTCCTGCCCTGTCACTTGTCTCAGGATTTCCACCACCACTTGACTTCCCCTCTTCTTCAGCCCCTGCTGCTGAGTCTAGATCTCACCCAAGAGACTCCTTGTGGTCCATATCCAACCCAGAAATAGAGGTGAATTTGACAGTGCTGGCATAGAGGGAAAAGGATCAAACAGCTTGAAATGGTATCACTTACAAGAAGCTTCCAAGATCACAAGACAAGGACATATATATTCTAACAATCATTATCCATATGGGACATTCTTAAAGCAAAACAATAATTTCAGGATCCAGCCATAAAGTTTTGAAATTCTGAAATGCTTTTTGCTAAAATGCAATAGACAAAGTACTTTAAGTGAAGAATACTTGACAGAAAAATTTCATTGGCGCTTGATTAGTTCCTACATTTTAAAAAAATTGTCCTGAATTAAATTCATCAGTTGCACTATCTTTGAAACAAAGTGAAGTACACTTTACTTAAAGAGAATCTTACTAAAATAACCAGCATTTCCAGTTATCACAATATCACAGCTGTCAGGTAATTTTCTATCCTCAGAAGCCAACAGAGGTTGGACCCAATTTATATATGTCCCTATTAACCATATCTGTAAACTTAGAGAACAAGCCTAAATCTGACAAAAACAAATTTTTAATGACTGTTTCCTTCTCTTTCTCGTAGAAGTAAAATCTTTTAAGAGCAAATATTTAGATATGATTTAAAAATTAATTTAACATCATATCTAAATATTTGCTCTTAAAAATGTTTTCAATTGAAGATCCAATTAATGTTATTGTTGTTGAAAGGTCCCAAATCGTTAGAAATAGAAATGATATCCTACATAATTGTAAATTTCCAAACTTATAAAAATAATTCCTTCTAACAACAAAAAGTTTCCTTCAGTGTCCTTGCTACCAGAATAAGGAGTTACTTCACCAGAATCACCTATACCGGTAAAGTAAAAGAATTCTGCTCTATGTGCTTTCACATTATACAATGAGAACATTTTAGCTGTTAATCTCTTTTAGGTCTCAGAAGTTTCTTCACTGTCTATATTTTCTATCCAAATTCAATTAAATGAATACAAGTTTGATTATTAGAATACTATGGAATAAAACTATTATTATTATCATCAAGGACCTAAGAGATGCCTAGTAATCATATAATTGTACATTTTGACCCCATAGGGTGCATCCAAATGAACCCACACGTGCCGCTTGCTGCATCTCAAAGCAGTTTGAGACGCAGCAAGAAGCACGCTGGGAACAAAAAAAATGTTCCCTGTGCTGCATATTTGCAGCAGGGGCTCAAAACGTGATACCTAGATATCCAGGTATCAAAATAAAACACGGGGGGGGAGGAAAGCCTGAGGCAACAGGAGGCTCGGGTCCTCCAAAGACACACTCTGGTAGCCAGCCAGAGCATCTCTACGGCTGGCCCTTGCCCCAGTGCTGAAACACGCTGCCTGCCTATGCAGGGCAAACAGAGGTGAAGACTGCAAGGACCTGAACCCGGGCTCCATTCCACATAAGTAGGGAGTGGAGGGGGGGCTGTGAGGGTGCGGGGGACCACGGCAGGGTAACTCAGGAGGGGTGGGTCCCCCGCTTGCCCCCCGCAGAATCCACATGCCCCTCCCCACAGCTCCAGTCACTCCACACACAGAACGCAGCTCACCAGCAGCAGCCATCAGGGTGCTCAGGACTTCATGACACAGCTCCTCCATGTGGCGCAGGGCAGCCTGGCTTGGCTCCAGCTGCCTAGCACCTGGTGCTGCATCTGCTACATCGCTCGGGTCCGGCCCAGCTCAGCACAGTACCACAAAGGGCTGTGCACCTTCAGGTAGCTCCAGGCCACTCGGGTTGTCACCTGGGGCCCCGCACCACTTGTGGGGACTGACTGTCACACTGGGCTGGGTCCTGCCTCCACAGAACCAACCCAACCCAACAGCACGTGGGGCTCTGCATGCAGAACCTGACCTGCACATCCTGATGAGGCGTGACAGGTGGTCTCTGCAAGGGGCCCTGGGTGACAGCCTGAGCGGGCTGGAGCTACCCAAAGCCGCATGGCCCCACACAGCACTGTGCCAAGCTGGGCTGCACCTGTGCAATGTGGCAGAGGCAGTGCCAGGTGCCAGGTAGCCAGGGCCAAGCCATGCTGCCCCCCGCCACCCTGCACCACATGGGGGGGCTGTGCCAGGAGGCCCCAAGAGCCACAGCAGCCACTGCTGCTGTAGGGGACCTGTGTGCTGGGGGGGCTGTAGCCCCTGCAGGGGGGCTCTGGGCCCTGTGGGGGGCTTTGGCCCCGGCAGGGGGAGACTCTAGGCCCTGCTGGAAGGCTGTAGCCCCTGCAGGGGGCATGTGGGCCCTGTGGGGGAAGCTGTGGCCCCTGTGGGGGGGGGGGCAGTTCATGAGCTGTGTGGGACAGGGCTGTGCCCTGCGGGGGGAAGGGGACCCACCCCTCCTAAGAAGCCCCCCCATGCGGCCCCCCCACACCCACAGTCTCCCTCAATCTGCCCACAAACCCCACACCTCCAAGCCACCCCCACAAACCCCTCACCCATATACCTGGCCCTGTGGGTCAGGAGTGAAGGAACTGGGGCAGGGGACAGGCTGTGGGTTGAGACTGAGGGGCAAGGGCAGGGGCAGGGCACTCGCATATCAGTGCTGCTCATTACTGCACATCCTGATGAGCAACGGGAGTAGGGGCAGCTGTGATTTTTCTATGACAGAAAAGCCAAAAGTAAATGCCAAAGTGTATAGCTATTTAGAATTTATTTTATTAGTATGATAAAGGTACAGGTAGGCCTCAAAACTGCTTTAAGCTTGTAAATATATCAATAAAACATTGGCCAACTGATCTCTCTATATATAGTGGCATTTCGTTTTAATAGTGACAGAACACTAGTTTGGGTATTTTAATGAGAGAATTTGGGTTTCTTATCAGAGAATCTGCAATTTTTAAACAGGGAACATCAGGATTTCTGCTGGTGAGACAAATGGTGAGACCCAAGCAGAGGAACCTGTCCCGGGCCAGCACTGATGACCCAGCTGGAGGGCAGATGAGGTGGCTGACCTGTTGGCCATTTGGGACCAAGAGGGCACACTTGGACAGTTCAGAGTGACCCACCATAAGAAGCACATCTTTTGGGCAATAGCTGTCCAGGTGGCAGAGCAGAGGCACCCCATCTGGGTCTGGCAGGCATGAAGCCATGGGGCCACAGGTCCAAGGGGGCAGATGCTGTCATAGGTGGCAGCAGGTCACAGCCAGGAAGAAGCCCCCACTACCAGACTGCTGCAGTGGGTAGAGGGGGCAGGGGCCATTCCAGGTCAGTGCTGCATCAGCAGTCCAGCTGGCACAAGGGGTAGTGTCCCCAGATACCAACTGGCTGGGCCTCAGAAATTCCTGAGGGCAAGTAACCCTGAAGCGCTGGCCCCAGGCTCTAGCTCTCCCTGGCTGAAGATCTGGGAGGATCTGGGAAGGTTTATTTTGGCCCAAGTGGCACAACTCACTCCAAACCAAAGTGCATGTCTGGGCACATGCACTGAGGCAAAAATCCCCGGCTTAAATTTGTGCCACTCCTATTTGAGCTGCTGCAAGTACACGTGCCTGCATGTGCGGACGCACCCATATATTACACTGCACAACTAACCTAATCAATAAGGCATACAGTATGTAAAAGCTAAGAATTAAGGAATTTTTAAAGGAGCTCATGGGAGAATTAGGTAATCAATTTGAACATCATAAGAGTTAGGAGGCTAACATCCTTTGGCTGTCTTGAAAATGCCAATCAATTTGTCTAATTCACCATTTTTCTGTAGTTTGAATGGCTTCATCTTGGAAAAGACATCTGTCTTCAATTACTAATGTGACTCAAAGGGGTATCAGTGAGTGATATGACATATACTATTTTGTGTTCAACATAACTGTGTGACTGCTGTGTTTGCCTGTTTTTCTTAAAGCCTCCTAAGACACTTCTTCAACAGTTGAACTCAATCAATATACCAAACAGATATGGAAAAATATGAATTCCTTTGTTTCACAGCTTAGCAGTAAACACTGTGAAAAGCCTTAAAGACAACCTTCTGAGGTGACTGTGTAACCATTAGCAGCAGAAGAGTCCTGCATAAAAGAAATGCCAAGGTGGCCATCAACCTGAAGTTAAGAAGTCCTGTGGCCAGCTGTATCAGTTGAGCCAGCAATCATTTGCAAAAATCCTCAAGTCAGCATGGTGGCCTTGAAACCCTAAGCTGACTCTAAACAATTATCTTTTACATGGATACTGAAATCACTGCACATTATCAGAATATCGGAATATGTGTCTCTAATACCAAACACAAATACTTTGTACAGTAAACATCAAGTATGTTTTGCACCTTTCCACTCATAATAGATTGGTGACCTACAGTGACTAAATAACACTTACTTAAAAGATGTCTCCCATAAGTCCAGAACAGCCAACATTGTAGGGTTCATTGCATGCAAATTTTCCTTTATATAAGTGCAAGCTGACAAGAATGACTTATGCCAAGGCTTTGGCAGTATTTCTATTCTAAAAAAAAGAAAACAGTTAAAAAACACCTGTTATGCTAAGAATCAAAATGTATGCACCATGTATGCACATTTCTTTAATGGTAATAATCCTTTTGCATCATAGTAAGGTTTCAAATTCAGGAGATAAAACCAATTTCTTCTTGTACTCCTCAGAAATTTACAATCTTGTTGTTGGATATTTGGGAGTATATAAATACTAAATACTGAGATAGGATATTCTGTCATGTCTTAAGAAGAAATCTGTAATTTATTCATGGTCCTGTAAGCAGATTTGCTTCTGTTTGAACCCACTACTTTATCGCCTGCCTTCTGCATGAACAGAAACGTTGTCCTTCCTCTTCTTCATGGCAACCTTTTAAATATTTGAAAACTTCTACCAAGCCTCCCTTACTCATAATCTCCTTTTCACTAAACCCAAGGCTCTTGCTACACATTACATACATTATGAAATTAACTGGTTAATAGAACAATGCATTTAGACTGGTCACATGTGCAAAGTAATTAGCACTGACTAACTGGTTAATCATGCACGTAAGTTTAGACCAGCCACATATGCAATGCAATTATCACACAATAAAAATGACTATCTACTATAAAAAGAGCCAACCAACTATAAAGTTAGTGCTTGAAAATGTGTAACAACTCTATAGCTGGTTTCTATCCAGTTTTAATTTGAACTTGTAGCAGGGCCCCACCAGGCTACCTAGAAAAGTTAGGGAACCTCCATCCCTGGAAATTTTCAAGAGCAGGCTGGACAGACACTTGGCAGTAATGGTTTAGTCAGGGATGATCCTACCCTGAGCAGGGGGCTGGACTAGATAACCTTGTATGGTCCCTTCCAGCTGTACTTTCCTATGATCCTACACTTAATTATCCTCCATGTTAGATGCACTTTCATGCTAGACATGGAATCCTGTAGCCCAGACCACAGGACATGCCCTTTGCTCAACCACTGGAACAGAAGATAACACTAAGTCTTCCCCTCTCAGTATTACTCTACTACTTAATAGGGAAGAAAAGTTAATACAAGAAGAACAATGTCTGTGTCTTTTGGGTCAGCCTTCACTGAAAATGTGCAAACCATGATTAGAGAGTTAACACAATTAGCATTAGTGACCAGAGAAAGAACTTAGGCTAGAACACATTAGGAACAGGTTACAGACTACTTGGGTAAGTTAGATGTTCCCAAATTAGCTGGCCTGATGAAAATTTCACCTTACATTACTTAGGAGGTTGGATGAACCAATGTCAAAGCTGTTAGCAATCTTAGAGAATTCTTTGATGATGTGTTAAGGTACCAGAATATGGAAAAGGACAAACTTAGTGCCTATTTATAAAAACAGGAAAGGAGACCATAAGACTACAGAATAGAAAAAAAACAATCTTTTGCTAAGCACCTAAAAATAACAAGCTGATAATGTAAAGTCAATATGGATTTGTCAAGGACAAGTCATGTCAAAGCAACTCAAATTAATTCTATGACAGAGCAGAAGTCTTTGTGGAGAGGGGAGAATATCTTTTTATTTTATTTAAGGCTTTTGAGACAGTTTCATCTGGTATTTTTATAAGCAAACTAAAGGAATACAGTTTAGAGAAAGCTAGGTACAACATTGGTTTGAAAACCATGCTGAAGGAGTATGTACCATATTTACTTGATTCTAAGAGGAGGTTCTTTTCCCATTCAACATGAGGAAAAGGAAACCTCATCTTACAATCAAGTACAACCAAGTAACAACTAAAAATGTAGTACCTGCAGCCAGCACTGGCTTCTGTACTGCTCCCTCCCTAGCTCCCTGATGATTCCCTCACCACTCTCTGGCTCTGCAACAGGTCCTGTGATACTCCCAGGCTCTGATTCCTCACCACTCTTTGGCTCAGCATGGAGCCAGGGAACAAGACGTGACCCAGCAGAGTCAGTGAGCAGTACAGAATCTAGCATGGATTCCCTTGCCACTCTGGTTCCATGCCGGGTCCTACCTTGTTCCCTGGCTCCCTGCTAAGCAGTAAGGCAATCAGTCGGGAGCCAGGGTCAGCAGGACCCAGTACGGAGCCAGGAAGCAGCAAACGAACCAGCAGGGAGGCGCCAGGCCGCACAGCATGTGGCAGTGGAGGGGGAGGGGGAGTGGGGTGCAAGTGCCTGGGGTGGCAGACAGCAGGGGTGGCCATGGGAGCAGGTAGGTGGAGGGGGAGGCACCAGTGGGGAGAGGAAAGTGGCAGACAGACAAGAGGTCAGGATCCAGATGCCACCTCTCCCTGCCACTTGCCTCCTTACTGCCTGCGCCGCTGCTACTGCTTTCCCTGCCACAAAGGCTGGGAGGACAAATTTAAGACAACCCTCCAACAATTAGATTCTATACCTGGAAAATTATAACAAATTTATATTTTTCCACATATGGAATCTAATTTTGGGGAGGGTGTCATTTTAAATTTAGTCATCTTAACTTTGGTTTGGATAGACTGCTGTCTCACTCTCAAACTGGAAAGATATATCAAGTGGAGTTCTACAGGGGGTCTATCATGGTCTCATACTAGTCAATATTTCCATTAATGACCTGGATGATGAAGGCCCGTTACAGATGTTTTCTTTCAGGCTAGAATTTACTGTCAGTTTACTGCTCGACTACCAAAAAATATAAGCCACCACAAGGCAGCCAAGCTGTATCCATTTCTTTAAAATCCCATAAGGACTGAAACCACATTGTGGACTAGTCAAAGTCTTTATGCGGGTCTGTACCAGGCATAGCAGATTTCTGCTGATGACATTGATTTTTGTGTTCTAATGACTCTTAGCAACTGGTATACATTTAAAAAAATATATTATGTATGCATATAAGCCATTGCTGTATACAAAGAGTATGTCTACACTACAATTGCAACTCATATACATATATCCAAGCTAGCTAGTATAAAGCTAGCAGTATAATTCTGGACATATGAAATCAGGACAGACTACAAAACCTGCTCAAGAAACTAAATAAACACTTGGACAGCTAACAAACATAATTGAATTATTCTGAGGGAAAAACACAAATCTTATCTTATTTGTGCTGTTATGTTTTATATTCTTGACTTAGTACTTATTAAGCAGACCCTTCGCTGTTATATAATCACGTAGCTTTACTAAAATCAGTGGAGTACGTGGATTAAAATCAGTGGAGCAATGCTAATTTACATTAGATGATGATCTGACTCATTATCACTTATTTTCAAATTCTGTGGGGCTTAGTCCAAGATTTACAAATCACTTACGATGTTAAATACTGCAAGAGATTTGTTCTCAACTAACCATATATTTTGCAATCTCTCTAATAATGTTGCGTTGTATAAATTTACACAATAAATAACCTAATATTATTTCCTTTTCGTGTTTCATAGGTTGCTCCAATTAGGATGGATTGCTTTGGTCTAAGAAGTATTCTCTACATAGAGTATTCACCCTATTACTCCCTAGTCAGTGTTCAGGAAGAAATATGTTTTCTTACTCTGCACGATGAGATGGAAGCTCTGGCTTCGTGTCTTCATCTTTTTCCCTGGGATCTCTTAAAACAAAGTCAACTAAAAGAAAGTATATTACAAAAAAGAACAAAAAAAACCACATAAATAACATGAGTAAAGAGGAAAAAAATACTAAAAACAGGGCCAAATAATGCAACCCATTGAAGAGAATGACTGTATTTAGCACGAAGTAACTTTATTTGTGAATAAAATTACCAAATAAAATCATTCTTATGGAAAATCTTGAAGACAGTGTAAGCTCTGAATAGTGTCATATTTTCCCTATTAGAAGGTAAAAGCAAATGCTGAAACCATAAATATTTCTTATTAAAAATACCTAAACACATCTAAAAATTCCATTTATTATAATGACAGCATCCCAAAATGAACACTTGTTTGTATCAATAAAGCTGGAGATAGAAAGTCCAGATATCACCAATTTACCTATGGCTTTCTTTACACTGAGAAGATAGTCTTCTTTCATTTCATCAGACAATAAATTAATACTTTTGCTAAGTACTTTCAGATGCCGTGGGACTAAATCCAAAATATGCTTCAGCCAAGAATCATCCATTGGGGCCACGTGTTCTGTATCAATTCCATGATGAATGTAATAGTAGTATTTCTGCACAATAATGACAAAATAAATTGGCTGAGTTTAGTCTGATAATAACAGGATAAAGATGGTCATCTCTTCTGTGGTCTTAGATAGATCTATGCATTTCCTGAGCAAAGATACTTTTCATGAGCAGTAAGGATTTGTTATATTGTAAACACTATAATTCATTTTTAGGTTTCAGCTGGCCTCAATACAATCTGAAAAATAAATAAAAATGAATTATAAGTTATAAAGATGATATAATTGCATCATACTAAAATATAATGCAACAAATTCACCTTGTATTCACCACTGACTATAAGCAGTATGTTCTAGTTTTCTAATCCAGTGTGGCCAAACTTTGGCATGCACGCCATGGGCAGGCTCTGTGTGGCCCAAGTCAGGTAGGGGAGGGGGCAGGGAGCAGAAAGCAGAGCAGCAAATTGGACAGGGGAATGGGACCATAGTAGCAATCAGCGAGAGCATGAGGCTTAATTTGTGGCATGCCTGAGGTTGATGATTCTAGTGAATAGTGATCCTACTTCATCAGAATGTGACAGTGACTGCTTGAATACAACACAGATGCAGGTGGTTATGCAAAATAATTATTATTCTGCAGGTGCACCTAAGGCCCTGACACATGTTCATTTTAAAGCATGATGGGATCTAATCCACAATCCCAACAACCATACCTCCTGCCATATCACACATGCATGGTAGGACATCTGATTTTGGGTTTGGGGATTAGATCCCAATCACAATTTACTTGCTAGTACAGGCAGAGCCTGGAATCATGATCCTAGGCTCCCCCTGCATCAGCAAGTTGAAACTTAGATGCCCACAATCAGCTGATTGTCAGTTGGGGCCAGGGACCAAAAGGGCCGCCATCCAATTCCTGGCCCCAGCTGACAATCAGCTGATTGTCAAAACCCCAGCTAGGAGGTGTACACAGTTTTTACAAGTTGGTGTATGGAGACTCCAAAATCGGACTTCTGTATCCAGAACCTGTAAAACCATATATGCTGCATAACTGGGCAACACACAAGTTTTTTACTCATCCCCAGCACCTGGGATCCTGACATCAGACTGCTGCAACCCAATCCCAGGGTCCCCAGGGCCTATAAAATCCATGTGCTACCCAGCTGGACAGCACACAGGGTTTTTACTCATCCCTAGGCATGGGAACCCTGAGATCAGGCTGTGGATTATTAGTTTGTATTATTAAGACTTCTAAGTTGTATTAGTGCACCTAGTAGTGCTTTTATACTACATTTTTATATGAAAGTGAAGCATATAAGCATTTATTTGATGCACCCAATTTTCAGTACATTTTCATAGATTTGTAGATGCTAGGGTCAGAAGGAACCTCAACAGATCATGGAGTCCGACCCACTGCCTAGACAGGAAAGAGTGCTGGGGTCAGATGACCCCAGCCAGATGTCTATCCTATTTTTTCTTTTCTTTTTCTTGGAACACCAAGGCAGACAATAGGCTGGTCAGCAGTAAGGGGAAGCACTGTAAAATTCACAGGCATCCACACTAATGCTAAAATTAAAAATCCAATTTTTAATATAAGACTTTTACCAGCCCTCACCTTTCATATGTTCTATAGCCCATGAATTACAATTTTGTATGTCAAAAGTTATACTCTTATGGAATAGCCTAAGAGTTATTTTTTTAATATTTTTCAAATGCAACAAACTATTTAGGCTGCTGAGAGATGCTGGACAAAATTATGGCTATGGAGTGGCTGAAGTAAGAAGCACTAAATACCAATGATGGTGGAACAAAGGAAATAGAGCCAGGTACTTAGCTCCACTGCCCTGGGAGTCAAATAGCATAAATCCCAAGAGAAAATAAACCAAAATTTCTAGGGGTCAGGAATGACAAGCTTCAACATGTTCCACATTACTTACAGAAAATCCTTGAAGTAAATATAAAAGAATGAGAATTCTGAAAGGTTTCAAGGAGCATAGTAGGCTAGAAGTAGATGGGAGAAACAGGAAGCAGCCAATACAAAGCATACTCCTCCAGCAAACTCAGGATGACCAACAGTGGCAGCAGAATTTCAGGAAGACAAGTTGCCTCAGAACTGTAGCAGCACAGTACCACCGGCAAGCCTCCATCAGACAGCTGTCATCACCTGGAAGTTAACTACACCCAAATGTTAACCAGTGCTATACACAGAGTCGCCATATGGGACAATGTGAAATCTAGGACGCTGATCCCCCCAGGAATACCAGTGGTACAGGCAGGGGCAGGGGCGCAGCACCACTACTATTACTATTCAGGAAGCTAAGTAGTCAATGGCCCCTTAATGACCATTATTCTTTACTTCTCAGGTGTTAACAATCCCCCTTTTAAGGGTCATTCAGCTAATCAACCTAACCTATTAGGGCAATTCTGCTCTCTGCTAAGGATTCCTCTTTCCCAGCTCTTGCCTGGGACACTTGGTTTACTTTTCACTGGATGGCCAGGACCAGCCTTCAAAATCCAGGACTGTCTTGGTCAATCCGGGAAGTAAGATCACCCTATCTATAAATATCAGGGCTGTTGCTATCAAGTTGTGCACTGCTATGAAGAAGCTGCTGATGCCCCAGATTATGAAGTACAACAATCCACTGGAGGAAGACATTGATGGATTTGATGGTAGGGGCTTCCAAATTGTACAAGAGCCATTAATGGGACCCACATGCCTATTCTTTCCCACCATACCAACCTCAGCTTGCATCAACAGAAAGGAATATTATTCCACGTTACCTCAATACCTGTTGTACCTACATGAGAGAGTGTCCAATATTAATGTAGGGTGGTCTGGAAAGATACCTGATTTCAATATCTTTAGACATGCAGGCCGGTTTATTTTTTTAGTGAAAAAAAATCTGTGCTTCCAAAACTGTTGTGGACATAAATGGTGTCATGGCTCCCACCACCATTATAGGAGATCCAGCTTACCCACTGCTTCCATGGCCTATGAAGCCTTTTGCCACACTTTGACAAGAGAAAGAAGCTGCTTAATGACACCTTGAGCAGATGCAGAATGAATGGAGTGCATATTTGGAGAGCACAAAGATTGTGGTACCTAATAATAAGGCCAGAGGCTGCTAAACATTTTCTGCTTTAAGTGTTATCTATTTGCTGTATTTTGTTATTTTGAGCACAAGGCTGAGGAATAGAGACTTTTGGAGCATTATGAAGAACCAGAGAGTTTGCCTATCCAAACTGTAGCAAGGCCATAATCAGGGATACAATGTGCTCCTACTTCAAAGCTAGGAGCTAAAACAATTGACATGAACTTTTATTGTTTTGTTATGCTTTCTGAAATGATTTTATGAAAAGGCATTTTACTATGTGCCTAGCATATGCAGTTTTATGAAACTGTATTGATCCTTTGTCAATAGTACCTTTTATTGAACAAATGCTGAAAATAATAAAACTTTTTATCAAATGTTACACTACATGGAACATAAATCACAACAAAAACAGCACAAATTATGTCTGAAAGTAAGTGTGCAAACATGTTTGTACTGTTTTGGTCACTGATGCATGTAAACATAGGATTTTTGCCTGTTTTCTTCTCAGCAGTGTATATCCTGAGCTAGGAACATCACTCATAACTGTGGAATGCATGGTGGGGTTGCATTATTCTTGTTTTAAGGATGGGAAGTCAGAAGGAAAATACATTTTGCTCCTTCAAGCATATATTGTTTTCCCATACGCTACAGGAAACAGTTAGGTAGGGATTGTGATGGTGACAGTGGAAACATTATACCAAAATATTATCCAGCAGGAAAGTCTAATTCTACAAAATGTCAGGAACCATATCTGTATATCTCCATCTTAGCCATGTCTCCTGTCCCCTTGTCTCTCTATAAGAAAGAAGGCAGGGTAGATTTCATATTATGGACTTGGGCAGATCAGAGATCTATAGCACAAGCTTTTGTGAGCTTGAGCTCACTTCAACAGACGCTGTGGAAGGACATGCACAGAGCAGCATATTAAACAAAGTGTGTGATCTGAATACAAAAGACAGGGAAGAGAGGGAGGGAGGAGACCACTCTTTCTCCACTCCTCCTGGGATACAGAAACAAGGCCTCCAAACATTCCTCTAGCCCACGATTTTGTCTTGACCAAGATTTTTTAACCATTCTTAAGTGACTAGTGCTCCTGTCTCAGGAGAAAAGACAGACAAAAACAGAACTAAAAATTATTGTATTAAATTCCACTCTCCAAGAAAACAATGAGAAAAGGTTGCCTTTTCTCCAGTTCTGGATAGCATGCACCAGGTTCAGGGGTGGGCAATTATTTGGGCCTGGGGGCCACATAGGGAGTTTTGATGAGTTGTCACGGGCCAGGTCAGCACCCTTGCCTGCCACAACAACTCATCAAAACTCCCTATATGTGGGATGGGGCTGCAGGCAAGCAGGGAGTGGTGTTCAGAAGCGAAATGGGTGGGCAATGCCAGGATCACGAGGCAGGGTCATAGGGCAGCTGTGTGAGGGTGAGGGGTGTGTGGAGGAGTATGTATGTGTATGGAGGGGCTGCCTGGGTGCTAGGTCCCAGGAGCAAGCTGAGAATAAAAGGAGGGAGAGGGCAGCAGGTGTATGCAGCAGAGCTCACCCAGGCAGTGTGGTCCACTGCTGCCCCCACAGTGCTCCCCATGGGATCAAGCCCTGCCCAGGGCAACCTGTGCCACACTCCGGCCCACACCCACTGACCTGGCCCTCACCAGTACACACAGCTTCCACTAGGGCTGCTCCCGGTGTGGTTGTTGTTCAGTTCCCATCACCTCCAGCAGCAGCCCATCCTCCTGCTCTGTCTCTCTGGGCCGGGTGGAAGCTTCAGCCAGGCAGCTTCTGCCCCAACGCATGGGTCTCTGACTCCAGCTCCTGGCTGCCGTCCACCCACTCAGCTGCCCATGCCAGGTAGATGGAATAGGTGGAAGAAACCTGGGAGCTGGAGTCAGAGCCCCATACACTGGGACAGGAGCTGCCTGGCTGTAGCTTCCTTCCAGCCCGAAGCGGTAC